CCTGAATTATTATAATTTCTCTTTTGGATATGAACCAAACCCTAGCCAACTAGATTGACCCAAATTAAGTCGAGTCTGCAACCAACACGTGGACCAAAAAGACTGGACTTCTTTACGTCATACATATCTAACTGATCAAATATCTAAAATCTCGCATTGGTTTTGAATTGGTTACATATAAATTTTAGTATCTATAAACCTAAAACTTTTCCTTTAATTTTATGATTTTAATTTAAATACCTAGAAACTAAGGACTTGTTCTCTCTTCTATTTTCCTGCCATTTTCAATTTTTGAAAATATTGAAAACACGTTTACTTATCTATTTTCATAAATGAATTTTCAAAAACGAGTTTAAAATTTACAAAAAAAACGAAAAACGCCAAAAAATCGTTTTGACTGTTTTCAGTTAAAATCAAGCCAAAATTTTTTTTTTTAAAACAAATTTTCAAAATGACAAAAGAATGCGTTTTCAACAATTTCAAAATGGACACTCAAAACACAAAACTCAAAATGAATTCAAAACTGAAATACTGAAATACGAAGAGAACAGTCTCTAAGGTTTTAATAATTTGGCCTCTTACTCCCCCCACTTCCCTGAAAAGGTTCCATGGGCAAGGGATGTACAATAATTTTGTATAATCACTTCAAATTGTCAAGAGTTTTTGTTTTTTCTTTTCTTTGCTGCAGATAGTACTCACTCTTCATTCATTACTTGTAGTATTAAAATTGTAAATATTAAGTTTGGATCGTCCAAAAGAAGAATAAGTTGTATATACCAAAAGCAGCCTTTCAGTGTAATTTGGAAGTTTAACCTCCAATTTCCTGATGGGGATAACTCCATGTTTCATCTCCTTTTTCCTCTTTGCTAATGCTGAACATCATTTGAAGATTAGGATTAAGGGTGAGCTCATCATGTAAGAGATTATCGAAATAAGGCTCGGGTGAATTTCCGGACTCTTCCATACTTCTTAGATGATGAAGTGTTTGATTACGTCTTTTGAACAATAAATGATTGTGTCACCATGTATCACAGTTAATTTTCTACGTACGTCCATAAATATTCTCAAGCCATTCTTTTACTTGAATTACCTGTAACAATTGAAAGGGACGACCATTTATAGGTGCATTCTAATTTATTCATAATATTACCTACTATGGACTCGAAAAGGTTCTTGATTATTTTGCTTGCCCTAATTCCTCTTTTTGCATTGCCAACTAGTGAAGAATCACTTGTAGATCCTAAACTTCATTAGATAAGGCCTACTACTTAACGTCAAGACTCGAGTCATTCACTTTTTTTTGATGATTTTCAAATTATTCGATAAGGCCTAGTGGCCTACTATCCAAATGTATATATTCTCTTTTAGTAGTTGATATTTTTTGATGAAGTACTACGACATCAGAAAGTGCAAAGTTCTTGAATTCATATTCGTCACCAAGAGCTGGGTCAAGCTAGATTTGATAAAAGCGTTGAAAAGAAATTATCGTTGTATATTGAGTTATGATTACTGTTAAATACTGAACACGAGTGGTCGATAAAATTCATCTCTAAACAATTATGTGTGTGCTAAATTTACTATGGCTTAAAAATGACAAGAATCTGATACTATCATCCTAGAGTTGTTTAACTGTAAAGATTAACACTGTGTTTGGTAGCCATTTTCTTGGCATTTTTAGAATTTTTTTGACTATCGGAACAATAACGTGGACCATTGCAACCATCCTTTTTGACTCAGCAGAAAGTAATTTTTCTAAAATGACACTCAGCATCTCAACATACAATGAAATAAATGTAAAGAGGTACAAAGGTATGTTCAATCGGATTTATTAATAAATGCAGCCGCCATGATTGCTACTTAACGGACATAATTTTTCTACAAAACAAATGAAAATGGCTACCAAACAGGGCTAAGAATCATTCTATCTTCTGTCATAAGCATTCGTTGTGAAATTCTCAATCACGAATTCACGTGTCTTCTTGGATAAGCCTTCGGCCAGACAAATTTGGTACAGACCCATAAAAAGAGTTGGGCCCGTCCGTTTCTCTACAAATTTACAATGGGCCATGACAAT